TTTATTTAATTTTCTCAAATATTGGGTTTCATTTTTGTAAAATAAGAAAATGAAAAAAACACCGGTTTTTTCGGTAAAAACTCCCATATTTTCGTTCCCAAATCATTTACAATTTAGGTCACCGGAATTGTTTGTTTGTTTGTTTGTTTGTTTATAGAACCCGCCCCCAATCTCGTATCGGGAAATGACTAAACTCAGGTCTGAGTGTGAATACGGGTGGTTATACCTGCAAGAGTGTTTATTAAGCATTTAGAGTTCTGTGAAACTGCAGTTACAATTGTGCTAGAGTATTTTTAGTATATACGAATTACGATTGGTATCAGATATATATCCCGGCCCTACATGCTTCCAAAATTTGTAAAGCCGTAGTACATACATATCACATTACACCGGAGCCTACATAGTGCCATCTCCTCCAGTCGATCTGCGCCGTGTATGTTTATATAAGCGCGCCGCGGCCCAGATTATGGAGGAAAGCACACTCTGCAAGTTCGATCCAGTGCTATGCTACATGTACGTACTACGGCTTTATCTCCAACTCTCTGCACAATGTACTGGAATGTTTTGAAGGGAAAAAAACAAAACTAAAATCAGCTTCTTTTTTTTAAATAGTTAAGTAATAAGTATGTAACGTCGATACCAAACCGATTATTTAGCGATGATAACTGAGTAGTGGATTCCTGGGTTGCAGAGTCATTCAGATGTTTCAGTCTTCGAATGTGGTTCTTGTTCAGTTTTGTCCATGTTTCCTCGTGTTATGTTCAAAGTTTTAGGTGTCATGTTGTCCTTGACATAAATATATATTTTTCGTAAGGTAGCTGGTTACTCCTTTATGAATTAATCTAGTCTACAGATGTTTGAAACCGTTCCAATGTATCGTTAACACCCTGTACATTGTGAAGTTATCTACGTATACCTAGAATTATAAGCTATTATATCCAGGTAAATGCGGATAGATAAAACGGAGTACGACAGAGACTTGAAGTCGTCTATTCTCAATCATCTCTAATGCAAAACCGAACCGCATGGAGAACGGCACTATGCACAAGATCAGAGAACAGCACCCAGTCTTTATGTTCAGCTTGTACTAGCTATTGTATAACTATAAGTTGCTGGGATGGAATCGAAATCCCAAAACACAGACAGAATAAAATTGGTGCAATTTCAAAGCGATGTATAAGACTGCTATTTTAAAATAGCAGTCTTATACATCGCTTTGCAATTGCACCAATTTTAATCTGCAATTTACCTGTGTTTTGGAATCGCCGTTCTCCATGCGGTTCGGCTTTCTATTAGAGATTCCTTAAGGCACACTGATCAATAATAGATGACTTCAAGTCTCCGTCGTACTCCGTTTTACTTTTATCGATCTGCATCTAACTGGATGTAATAGCTTAGTATAGTTCTATACTATTGTTTTGCTTATCGCTCCTAATCTAACTAAACTAATGCTGGCAAGTTTAACGAATATATGACATCTAACTTAGCTCTGCAATTGATACATTATCTTTCGCCGCGATTTCGCCTAGTTTGGCTTGTCGCGGCACCGCGATTTTTGGCCTAAATAATCGCGATTTTCTTTTGTCCTTGAGCAACCAGAGAACTGCACCAGCGAACGGCACTTTGTCTTTATACTTAGCTAACTTGTACTTGTAGTTGGATACAAGTTGCATCTTTAGGTTGTAGATGCGATACTTCATAAATCATACTGCGATAGATTGGTTCATAATTTATTTTTCATCTTCTAGTATATATATACTCCCCTTGCAAGCTTTCGACACGAAAGTCTCACGTCCCTTAATAATAGAACCACCCCATTAGCAAGAGCTCTCGTCTTTTAGGTGATCTACGAGTCGATCAGACAAATCTTAAAGATCATGTTAACAGCTAGGATGTACATAATTGACATGTGAACTCTACCCTATATCTAGCCCATTTCTATAGGTCAATTAAATTCTACTGATGGATCACACCAATAATTATACGTCACTTTTTGGTGATATGATCTGACCCCTCTCTCGTCATGGCTGCACTGCCCCGGTTATGTTTGTTCTAAAAACCTCACAACTCTGTCTCGGACATTTTAAGATTAAACATCATCTTCAGATTAAAAAAATAAAACAAGGTAGAATTCGATCCCCCCTTCTATTGCACATCATATTCCCTCAAAAGCTGTGGTGGGAGCTATTAGTATTAGTTATTGTCCAATCCTATAATGATCAGCGGTATTTTGTTATCATAATGGCGTACTTTGTGAGAAGTGGTGCCTAAACTGCCTATTGTATTGCGCGGTGCAACAACTGCCCATATGCATATGATATGTACCTGAGACATCTGTCTTTTTCTGCGTCGGAATGACAGGCTGAGTCCAGTACTTCAGTAAATACCCATGTACGAATAAAATCTATATTATACCATTAATATGAGAATCAATCGTCCGGAAAATCTGTTGAGTAATACATTTGGGACTTGGGTAGCTTTGAAGTGTTATCAAATAATTATGATTATGACAGAATATGAAAGAATTTAATTTGTTCAACTTTTCCGTACAACTTTTAAAAGACTGAACTGTTATTATAAAGCTTTTAAACATTTCCATTTAGGATGACTGGTTCCATTTTTATAAATAACTATTAAAAATTATCAGAATATCAATAACCGCGTTTTGAACGATTTATTCAATTTTAATTGTGGCACAAAGGTCAGCTTCCACTTTGAAATTCGTTTTTTATCCTTTTTACAATATTCCACTTTCCAGAATAACAGACTAGAGAATGAACATGTCTATGAAAATAGTTGTGGTCACTGCTTTGATGCTTTTGGCAGTGAGTGCAGTTCTTGGAATAGATAGGAAAATGACCGAGTAATGCATGTTCAATACACAAACTTTCAGATCAATATAACTTCTCTGATTTATAATGGTTCGAGGAAAACTACTCCCCGAGAATTAGGTTGCAAATTGAAATATCACAAGGTAAACTGTTCTCGTTTCAAAATGTAATTTAAATGTATGCATAAGCACTGCTTTTATATTAGTTTTAGTTTTGACAGAAGCATACGCGCAGCAGCACACGTGGCCGTGCACTCATTCAAGTCTTTTACTTTTTTTTGGTACTATTAATATAATTGATAATACGGTAAAGAGGTCGTTTGGACTTTGGTGGACTGACACACAAACTGTAATTTTCTAATAATAATATAATTTGAAAACCCCATAATTGGGTGGAGTGGACCGCTGGCAGTATCTCTCTTTCCCAAACAAAAGGAAATGATATTAATTTTAATTACCGTCTGCAAATTCAAAATGATACTATGAGAATAAAATCGGTCGCTCGCTTTTCCCATTTATTTACAATTGTGATACTATGATGCGATAAAAACTTACTACCACAGAATATTATTACTTTCCTCCCTGTGACCACGGGCTTTCTATTATTCTATAAATATCAACTAACCCCCCCCCCCCCCCCCCCCCCCAGATTGTGATGCAGGAAAGGTAAAGTGCGCGAATCAAGAGCAATGTATTGTTTTTTGTATATTAGAGCTTTAGCCACAGGTAGGTTGGTCTGCACGGAGCCCCACAGTTTCAATTCCTTGTTTAACTAGCCGTACAGCAAGGATATCCACTGTGCTCACCAGGTTAGGCACATAACCAACACTACCCTGCTAAAGTTAGCTATATACTATGGTTTTCTCGAAAGTATTTCCTTGTATTTGACTTTCGTCAAGAAAGTACTCTTACTTTCGGTTCAGATGTTATATAAGCTAGCCTTTATGTGGTCCGCAGGGCGGAGGAACCGCCACACACTTCTCACCCAGCTACGAATACAATGTATTGTTTTTTGTATATTAGAGCTTTAGCCACAGGTAGGTTGGTCTGCACGGAGCCCCACAGTTTCAATTCCTTGTTTAACTAGCCGTACAGCAAGGATATCCACTGTGCTCACCAGGTTAGGCACATAACCAACACTACCCTGCTAAAGTTAGCTATATACTATGGTTTTCTCGAAAGTATTTCCTTGTATTTGACTTTCGTCAAGAAAGTACTCTTACTTTCGGTTCAGATGTTATATAAGCTAGCCTTTATGTGGTCCGCAGGGCGGAGGAACCGCCACACACTTCTCACCCAGCTACGAATACAATGTATTGTTTTTGTATATTAGAGCTTTAGCCACAGGTAGGTTGGTCTGCACGGAGCCCCACAGTTTCAATTCCTTGTTTAACTAGCCGTACAGCAAGGATATCCACTGTGCTCACCAGGTTAGGCACATAACCAACACTACCCTGCTAAAGTTAGCTATATACTATGGTTTTCTCGAAAGTATTTCCTTGTATTTGACTTACTGAATGTATATGGGAATCGTATGTTTGTGACGCATATAAAGATTGTGATGATAACTCAGACGAAGAAAATTGCACAGGTTGAGTATTGATAAACTTACTTGTAAATTTTACCCTAAAAACTGAGATTTTGAAATAACATCAGACAGCTATTATAGGTTCCACCATTTCATATTACAAATTACAATGTGAATGAAACGCAATCTTATATCTAACTACGTTTGACCGACATAAAAGTCTTCATATAATGAATATAAGTATTCGACTAAAACCCATTTAACCAATATCATGGATAGAGTGGACCGCTGCCAGTGTCTCTCTTTCTCAAACAAAAGGAAATGATATTAATTCGAATAACCATCCGCAAATGCAAAATGATACCGAGAATGAAATTGGTCGCTCGCTTTTCCCAAATTAATATCATTTCCTTTTGTTTAAGAAAGAGAGACACTGGCAGCAGTCCACACTCCACTCTACCCATGATTATGGGGTTTGGTCAAATATCATCTCGTTTTGCTTATAATGCCAGGGTACTTTACAAAGTCGAAATGTAAACTCATTACTTCATTAATAAGGAGGTTATTTTAAAGAATTCGGAATTTTATTTGAAAACATTTCCTTGTGTTTAGGTAAGCATATCTGTCGATCACTGATTGAATATGCCACTTTATACTCATTCAAGTTGGCATTAAATTCATTGGAAGTCGTTCAACAGGTTTATTTTAAGTTCAAATAGTTCTAATTCGATGTCAAAGATGACAGGAATAAAAAATAGTTATGTGGAGGTCTTGAAGAAATTTGCGCAAAATAGGCTCACATTTTTTCCCTCCTCGCTCTCTCTCCCAATACTGCATATTATGTAGCGGTGGTAATAATAGCGTTGGTAATTAGGTTAGCCTCTACATATTTTTGTTCAGGGAGCAGGCTTGCCACATAGGTCCAGGAGTTCCGAACGTTTAGGCAGGGTATTAGGTTGTGGTACACATTCAACTCCATAACAGATTAGAATCAGCGTTCTGGATAACACTATCATTATCACCCTGTAAAGTGGAATATTTCGATCTGATATAAACATATAATTGACCAGTCCAAATATTTTTAAAAACCTGTTATTTCAGCGGTTCAGTACAAGATTACTTACTCTATATTCAATCACCACTGGGCAAGAAGTAGAGACCCTCAGTTTGTTTACATTAGAGGATCAAATGGAGAGACAGCTGAACATCCGTGTGATGCAGACTTCAATGTAATCAACCAAGATGTTCTGTGTGTTTTTGAGAGTGATATTGACATCGGGGATTACGAATGTGTATTTCTGAAGAGTGGAGGAAGAGATGGACTTGATCTAAAAAAGGTAGTAGTTCAATAATTATTTGCAAATATAATAGCTGGGATTTGAGTTATCACTTGAGCTATCTTTTGCTCAAGGTGCACACTGTATCTGCAAAATAATGCCACAATGTCTTTCTCGGCTTCAAGCTATTAAGCTTATCAGTGGTTTTGCTAGATTTAACTGAAATTAACCAGGTGTCGGTGCAAATAGACGGTATAGAGACACACACAATTGTTCCTCAAGGCCGTGCAAACTCTATAGGTCTGGACAATGGTGAAACCAAAAAGTTCTGTAAATCTGGTAAGACTAAACCCCTTTTGTACCCTCAAACGTCTTTTATTTCTAGCATTTTTGATTCATGTACATAATGATATGATCCTGATTTCCAATCCAACCTCATATAGTAGAATATACTTCTTTGCTCATAACCGAGTCGTGGATGTTCCATGATAAACTTGGGAGGTTTTCGAGCAGATTGACCTTTTGTGCGACAGGAAGCAATCTTTGTGTTTTATTCATTTAGAGTCCGTTCCTTTGAGAGTGAGCTAGGGTTCGGTAGGTCTAGGCATCTACATAAGTATATAGGCAATCTTTGAGCCTCAATCAGAGTATCCTCTTTCTGTTCTCGTTAATAGAAAGGTCTCTATTTTGGGAGTTGGTTACTCTTGTAATGAAACCTCCCAGATGCTCGTTACAAGAGCAGTATATTCTGTTTGCAAAGTTTCCTCGAAACTTCTTTGTTAACGTATATTATGTCTTCATTTAGGTCCGGGAATCCTGGTATTGGGATCATCAGAGAAATACATACTTTAGCTAATGTATATTCCAATAGGTCATATACCAGTTTTTTGTGTAGTTTGGAATGAGGTCTTTTGGGGTGGTTTTGATGTAATTTATCAAATTTTGAATATTGTCACTCCGCAAGCGTTTTCGACGCGCACTACAAGCAAAAGCATTTAGTTGTTATCAATGGGCACCCCCGCCTTCGTCATAAATTTCAAACAGCCATACCTCAGTGAGATTACGTCTGTTCTAGCTCATATTTTCACACAAAATATAAATATAATTACTTCATTGGCCTAACTGTTATAAATGTCAAAGTTTAAACGCGCATTGGTATAGAACGTGACCAATCAGGTCATATTTATATTGTGTCAAATTAATGGTTAGGTCTCCAAACTCATAGCAGAAAACACGTATTTTTGCCCGTAAGAGCCTCTACTATATCACTTCCAGTTTATAGAAGAAAGTATTGAATGGCAAGTTATCCAGCACGTTTCTTTGCAAGGACACAGAGAGGGCTTTGCACTTTTGTGTCTCATAGACCAATCATACAATCTATTGATGTTATTTTGGATTATGTGATGGTCAAGGTAACCAAAAATCTCCCTCCAGATTTTAGTGTCATCTGCATAAAAGGCGATATTAGTGCCTTCAGAGACACATATCATTTATAAATATTACAAATAATAGGGGGCCAAGTATAGAACTGGTAGAGAGATTTAACGTATGTCCAGAATTTCTTGGAGATAGGAGCATCATCAGAGTCATCCTCAACACTGAGTTTCATTATTTCGTGCATCATATTCTTAAATTTTTTGCGAAGTGCAAAAATATCGGGTATTTCAGATTTCTGTATAAATGTTCCTGAATTCACAAACAAGGATATTATGTTAACAGTTGATGGTGGATGGAGTGACTTTGGAGAGTGGTCAGTCTGTTCTGCTGAATGTGGAGGAGGTTCTCAAAGCAGGAGTAAGACCTGTACAAACCCCAGTCCAGCGAATGGTGGAAATGAGTGCCTGGGGGAAAATGATGAGACAAGCAGTTGCAACACTGAGGCCTGCCCAGGTGAGAATAATTGTTATGCATCTAGCCAAATTTTAAGGTACGTCGAGTAATTGGGGTAGAATATTGGGAGCCTATACTTATTATGAGGACCTTATGAATTTGTGTATTGCATAATTACTAGTGTAACCCAGGCCTAGGGCCGGGACTTCACTATTACAGTTGAAATGCAAAAGTATAATCCCGCTTATTCGAAAACACGCATTACACTGTCGCACTTAAAACGGTACAAATATGAAATCGCTCAGTCTAAGCATACTTCAATTCAATTCTGAGGGCCCCTCATGTATCTAATAAAAATACTTGATATGCAATCTTGCAGTCAACTGCCAAATTAACTAATTATATAGTAAATCTGTTATGGGAGTATGGAGGAGAGAAAGGCGAGAGTATAGGAGAGTAGGAGAGAGAGAGAGACACTTATAGTTATTTGGGTTACAAAATCATCAATTAAACAACTTACTACCGGCCGATTTAAAAAACTTAGGCTCTTGGGCTTTGTCAGAGTTTTGTCGGCACTATACCGAAAAGACCAGCCACGTACCTCTTACAGCTTTCTTGATTAAGCTGTTCGTAAAATACCCGCACACATATATCAAGAATGACCCGAATCTTTCAGAAACTTTTCAAACCAAGCCTCATACATGCATAAAATCGAAGGCATATCGCCTATTGCAGGTTTTATCATATTATCACGTTTTAGCCTTTAAGCCTTCTTTCTAATGTTATTTTCCGCTCTTCTTCTGTTTTTGGGACTGGATATGAATAAACACGATTTAAAAAATAGGTCAACGAAAATAGATCAGTCGGATTCAGATCGGGACTGTAAGGAAGCCAGCTGAAGTCCGCTTTTTTCAGATCACTCTATCAGAAATGCTCCTTCAGTCGAGCTAAACTTTCACGAGAGTAGTGAGGCGGGGAGGGGGCGTCTTGTTGGAAAATACAAGAATGAAGCATTTTCTTTCTTTTGAGGACTGGGATAACTTTTTCACACAACATAGCGATGTTATTTGACATCCTTATCGTTTCTGCCAATTCTCATCTTCATTCTCGACAAAATGGGGTTCGAAGACCCCATGATAACATCCAAATAGTTACCTTTTCTTGAGTCTTTAGTCCTTTCACAGTTGCATAGGGCTGCTGATCTGACCAGATTCGGGCATTTCAACTATCATAAACCAGAACCCACCCCGATAGTTGTAAGTAGAAAATGTCCAGAAGGAAAATTTGGTTGCTCAGACAGTCAGCTATGTTTAGATAATGTTTATTTATGTAATGGTCAGACGAATTGTAAAGATGGGTCAGACGAAATAAACTGCTCAGGTTGAGTATCTGTAAACGTATTTACCAATTTAAAACATGATATGTTCCAACTCTACCATCTTAGTGGTCCTCCAGCCACGCCCATATTTTTTACCAATTTTTAACAGATAAAATTCTTTATATCGTCAATTTAGTCACAAAGGAGTATAGAAGGAGTTTTAAATGTATGTTACTTCAATATAAGCATTAGGAAAAGGTTAAATTTGGTCGAGGTTTTAAGTCTCTACGATGTTGGAAAGTTCCCGCATGTAGTTTGCGGGTTGAGCTGAAGCGCGGTATTCACTGCGCAAAAACCGAGTTTGACACTTTCAGACTCCTAAACACACTCATTCATTCCTAAATCGGCAGTTAAATGAATGAATCATAATGCTCCACATAAAATTTACACACAATATGAGAATATATAGAAAAAAGGTCTTCCTTGGATTCCACATTGAACTTTAATCAGATTATGGAACTTTCAGAGCCATAAACTCAGCCTTTCATTCCTAAGTCGACAATGATACGAACTTTGCCTGTTACAACTTCGTAGGTGAACTTGTAGAAATTCCCTAGATAGCAACATTACTGGACATTGTGCTTAGGGTTCCGCGACAATTGACCCCCCGACAATTGACCCCCCGACAATTGACCCCCCGACAATTGACCCCCGACAATTGACCCCCCGACAATTGACCCCTATGTAATTACACTGGGGTCAATTGTCGCGAAATCTAGGCTTTAGTACGACAATTGACCCCCGAAAATTGACCCCCCGACAATTGACCCCCCGACAATTGACCCCCCGACAATTGACCCCCCGACAATTGACCCCCCGACAATTAACCCCCCGGCAATTAACCCCCCGACAATTGACCCCCGACAATTAACCCCCCGACAATCAGGGTCAGGGTCAGGGTCAGGGTCAGGGTCAGGGTCAGGGTCAGGGTCAGGGTCAGGGTCAGGGTCAGGGTCAGGGTCAGGGTCAGGGTCAGGGTCAGGGTCAGGGTCAGGGTCAGGGTCAGGGTCAGGGTCAGGGTCAGGGTCAGGGTCAGGGTCAGGGTCAGGGTCAGGGTCAGGGTCAGGGTCAGGGTCAGGGTCAGGGTCAGGGTCAGGGTCAGGGTCAGGGTCAGGGTCAGGGTCAGGGTCAGGGTCAGGGTCAGGGTCAGGGTCAGGGTCAGGGTCAGGGTCAGGGTCAGGGTCAGGGTCAGGGTCAGGGTCAGGGTCAGGGTCAGGGTCAGGGTCAGGGTCAGGGTCGGGTCAGGGTCAGGGTCAGGGTCAGGGTCAGGGTCAGGGTCAGGGTCAGGGTCAGGGTCAGGGTCAGGGTCAGGGTCAGGGTCAGGGTCAGGGTCAGGGTCAGGGTCAGGGTCAGGGTCAGGGTCAGGGTCAGGGTCAGGGTCAGGGTCAGGGTCAGGGTCAGGGTCAGGGTCAGGGTCAGGGTCAGGGTCAGGGTCAGGGTCAGGGTCAGGGTCAGGGTCAGGGTCAGGGTCAGGGTCAGGGTCAGGGTCAGGGTCAGGGTCAGGGTCAGGGTCAGGGTCAGGGTCAGGGTCAGGGTCAGGGTCAGGGTCAGGGTCAGGGTCAGGGTCAGGGTCAGGGTCAGGGTCAGGGTCAGGGTCAGGGTCAGGGTCAGGGTCAGGGTCAGGGTCAGGGTCAGGGTCAGGGTCAGGGTCAGGGTCAGGGTCAGGGTCAGGGTCAGGGTCAGGGTCAGGGTCAGGGTCAGGGTCAGGGTCAGGGTCAGGGTCAGGGTCAGGGTCAGGGTCAGGGTCAGGGTCAGGGTCAGGGTCAGGGTCAGGGTCAGGGTCAGGGTCAGGGTCAGGGTCAGGGTCAGGGTCAGGGTCAGGGTCAGGGTCAGGGTCAGGGTCAGGGTCAGGGTCAGGGTCAGGGTCAGGGTCAGGGTCAGGGTCAGGGTCAGGGTCAGGGTCAGGGTCAGGGTCAGGGTCAGGGTCAGGGTCAGGGTCAGGGTCAGGGTCAGGGTCAGGGTCAGGGTCAGGGTCAGGGTCAGGGTCAGGGTCAGGGTCAGGGTCAGGGTCAGGGTCAGGGTCAGGGTCAGGGTCAGGGTCAGGGTCAGGGTCAGGGTCAGGGTCAGGGTCAGGGTCAGGGTCAGGGTCAGGGTCAGGGTCAGGGTCAGGGTCAGGGTCAGGGTCAGGGTCAGGGTCAGGGTCAGGGTCAGGGTCAGGGTCAGGGTCAGGGTCAGGGTCAGGGTCAGGGTCAGGGTCAGGGTCAGGGTCAGGGTCAGGGTCAGGGTCAGGGTCAGGGTCAGGGTCAGGGTCAGGGTCAGGGTCAGGGTCAGGGTCAGGGTCAGGGTCAGGGTCAGGGTCAGGGTCAGGGTCAGGGTCAGGGTCAGGGTCAGGGTCAGGGTCAGGGTCAGGGTCAGGGTCAGGGTCAGGGTCAGGGTCAGGGTCAGGGTCAGGGTCAGGGTCAGGGTCAGGGTCAGGGTCAGGGGCAGGGTCAGGGTCAGGGTCAGGGTCAGGGTCAGGGTCAGGGTCAGGGTCAGGGTCAGGGTCAGGGTCAGGGTCAGGGTCAGGGTCAGGGACCAGGGTCAGGGACCAGGGTCAGGGTCAGGGTCAGGGTCAGGGTCAAGGTCAGGGTCAGGGTTAATTGTATTAAATCATATTGATAACACGCCAACCAGCAGCTACTCTTGATAACACGCCAACCAGCAGCTACCGCTCTGCGTCTAACTCACAAAATGTATCTCAAACTGAAACACGTAGATTTAACGACACCAACAATCAAAAATTCAGAGACTTATAGATTATATGCACACACTTATGCATCACTCAATAAACGTCGCATATCTCATAAATTACACTGCCAACATTGGACATTTTTTATTATCGCCGCGTATTTCAAATCAAGTTACAAATTCTACAAATTTTGAAGTGCTCAGTCTTGTTTTACTTTTTTAATCTTTACCTACTAACCATTGGAAAATAAAACTTTAAGTTATAAACCTTCCTTGCATACTTTACCAGTAGAGTCTACATTGAATAGTTTGAGATTTCCTTTACATTTTATATTTATGCATGTGCCCCACGGGGATGAATTTCTTATTACCATTGATGTTATATATATTTTTTGAGTAAACATTGGCTGGTACCACGGGCCAGTCCCCAACAACAAAAAAATTGTCGGGGGGTCAATTGTCGGGGGGTCAATTGTCGGGGGGTCAATTGTCGGGGGTCAATTGTCTGGGGGTTAATTGTCGGGGGTCAATTGTCGGGGGGTTAATTGTCGGGGGGGTTAATTGTCGGGGGGTCAATTGTCGGGGGGTCAATTGTCGGGGGGTCAATTGTCGGGGGGTCAATTGTCGGGGGGTCAATTGTCGGGGGTCAATTGTCGCCCACCCTGTGCTTAGCTACACCAAATCGAACGTCTTCCAGTTAGTAATCAAAACATTGAACATTCAACATGCATTTCATAGATGTGGTGTGAGAGTGCTGACTGATCTCCCTTGCTACATTCAACTTTTCACCATTCCCATCATTATACCAACTGATAGGGCTGTTGACTTCCTGACCAAAATAGAAGCCCTCATAATTCACGAAAGTATATTATTCTGTAATTATGATAATATAGCATTCAATAATCAATAATAATCAACCACTCTCCAGAGCCAGACAAAGTGTGTCCAACAGGATATTCGTTGTGCTCGGACGGTCAGCAATGTATCCAAACTACCAGAGTATGTAGTGGATATGAAGATTGTGATGATGGGTCAGACGAAAGAAACTGCGCAGGTTGAGTATCTATGAATTTATTTACCAATTTAAAACATATTTAATCCAATGATAAGGACTAAACTTTTCGTCAGATTTTGTGACGTAGACAGTACCTTCGAGAAAAATTGCAATTATCTTACTATATATAAAGCGAGACGATATATATATATTATATATATATTTTGTAGCTGTACTCCTACACATTAAAAGTCGGTGTTGATTAGATCTTCGAAATAAGTCTTTGCATCATTTTATTAAACATCGTTATCTGAGATAAAATTGTTCTAAAAGCAACTGGAATATTCACAAATCTTTAAAATAACTCACAAACTAGGAAAGGAAAACAAGTCTTAGGAAGACGTACAAAACTTTGTGACTTAAAACGGTACAAAACTAAAATATACTGAGTAATAATCAAACGAAAAGAATGGCTGCGTACATTTTATCTAATCTATTAAAGATTAGTTTGTCGGAAAAAGCTAGATTTCTCTGAATCAAGCAGTAAAAATATATAAATAGTAATGAATATAACACGTCTCTGATAGCAATATTGTAAACTAAACACGGGTTAATAGGCTGAGATCATGTCAAATAAAATAAATAAACTAAACACTAAGCTCCAGCGGATTTAAAAAGGATGTGGTTACTATCGAGGGTGTTCATACCCCCATAACGCTCAAGGGTTTTCAATTGGGTCTGGTAGAACCCCTCTCTAGCTTCCATGGCCTTTTCCCTATCTGCTTGACTTATTTCAGGTTTAAATTCAAGAGCGTCCACTATAATAACAGAAAGGTGCGTACTAAGTGATGAGTTATATAAGGCTACTGAACTAAAATCTAAATCATGATCAATATCTAAAAAGTGATTTACTAACTTACAACTTCTGATACCTTTCTTAATGTGGCTCTTATGATTAGAAAATCTCTTAGGGAGATTAGAAGTAGTATATCCTACATACGACTGTTTACAAGTTCTACACTCCATTAAATAAATAAGGTTATTACTCTGACAAGTTATATATTTACTATTTAGTAATAGGGAAAACTTGTTTAGAATGGTGACTACTAAATTTGGAACAAGGGGACAGGAAACTTTGCTTACAAACATAGCATTTTCCACAGGCATGGCACCCTGCGTTGTCAGCCTCCCGAACAGCCGGCAATATTGCAGCGTCTGGTTCAAGAAATTGACTAGCAGTGGCTTCTCCATCTCTATCACTGCTTACAGTTCCACTAGCACGATACTTATTGTGTACAAGCATGCCACCGATAGTTTGATTCTTTCGGTGACTTACAAATACACTGTCAGCACGTACTAGCTTCTTCAAGGCTGGATCGAGATTAAGAAGGTGCTTAGACTTGTGAATAATGCTCCCCATGTTGGGAAGTGCTGGATTCTGATCCATCACCATGGGTATTAGACAAGTAGTCGTCTCATCCTTATTTTTAGGGGCATACAAGTTTTTCCTATTGGTTATATCACTAAATTTGTTGAAAGCATCGTCTACAATACTAGAATGGTAACCACGGGCTACAAGGTAACCAGTATATACCTCCCTTTGCTCTAAGAAATTAGTGTCTTCACTATTGTTCTGCCTCACTCGCCTCGCCACACCATAGGGTATGTTTTTGAGAACATGGCTCCTATGACATGAGGTGGGGATGAGATAGCAGTGGGTGTCACTGGGCTTAGAGTAAAGTTTGGTATGAATAACATCGCCAACAGCATAGACATAGGTGTCTAAAAACTCAACACCATCCTTAGAGTAGTCGTAAGTAAACACAAGGTCCGGATGGATACTATTGAGCCATTCCATAAATTGTAGAAGCTCCTCAACAGTACCAGGCCAGGCCATGTATATATCGTCACGCAACCTACCCCAGAATGCTGGTCTGTGTGGCGGGCCATGTTCTAAATCTCTTTCATTAACTAAAATATCGATCTTATCCATTGCACAATCTGCATACTCACATGAGTTCTTAGGACCCATCGCCGCTCCACGCTCCTGACGGTATGTTATACCGTTGAACGAAGCTATGTTGTAATCAAGAGTGATTTCTAGAGCACTAATAATGCATTCTGTACTGAACAATTGATCATAACTACTTCTTTCATTCAGGTGCTTGGTGCATTGTTGGATCCCCATATCCCTGGGGATATTGGTGAACATGTTGGATATATCTATGGCAACATGTATCACCTCCTTACCCAACAATATGGTGGACTCATTCAAGCTATCAATCTTCCTCAAAAAATGAGGGGTGTCAATAATTCTATAATCTAAAATAGCCTTCTTCAATTCGTATGCAGTCAGGGCAGATAGGTTCTCAATGTACGAACCACATCCAGTAGTAATCATCCTCCCAGGGTACAAAGGTGGCTTGTGGGCCTTGGGATTCAGGTACATATTACCAGGCTGGTTGAGCTCCGTACACGGAATAACCCACTCCCTGACCTTCTTAGACATACCTAATTCTTCTTTATACTTGACTGTCCAACATGAAATTTTATCAATTAATTCTGAAACTAAATCATCTACATTATTTACAATACTATATACAGATCTATCATTCAAATGTACACCTATTCGTTGAATATATTCTTCCTCTCCAAGAAGAAAGAATCCTACCCCTTTGTCAAAAGGTCTAATAACCACATCCTTCCATCCTTTCACTTCTTTGAGAGCTGATCTGATAGGTGCAGCGATGTTGTCTGGTGAAACATACTTCTGAGTTGGCCGGTGGAGATCAACTTCTGCTCTGCAGCATTTAATGAATGCCTCGAGTGCAGGGTTTTTACATGATTCAAAAGTACGTGATGATTCGGCCTTGATGAGGCAGCGCTCCATGTCAGTAACTCTTTTATCTGCTTTGTTGGGTCCACATTTGAAGCTATCAAAAACAACTTTGGCTCTCATTTTGGAAAACCATGTACACAAATCGTTCTCGAAGCGACTCAGATCTGGTAGGGGAGGTGTAGGTGCAAACTTATGAGACAAGAAGAAGACATATAGTTGCTCTTTGGTGAGCTCCTTGTCTGTAAGGTTAACAACTGTTCTGGACATGTTTTCCATTGATAAGTCTTCAACCTTCGGAAGGGTGCCTTTGATCAATGTCCTCTGATGTCTGTGAGACGAAGTACGGTTGACCTTTTTCCTCTTCCTCCTTCTTTTCTTCTTCACAGGTTTGGCATTGTCCACATATGAAGGTGCAATGTAAATGGCGTAGTCTGTATCTCTCTTTAACTTAGAATGATGACGCTTTGTTAGTTCAAGTCTCTCCATGTGCATCAAATTGGATAAATGACTCTCTAAATTATCATGATCTGAAGGTGGGAGCGAAGATTTTATGCAGTTTTTAAAGCTGTAAAAACTTTTACGTAAATTCTTAGACCTGATAACTTGGTTCTCTATGACTAAGTCTAACATTCTAGATTTCTGACGTTGGTTGAGGGCATTACATGAATCTACATAAAATGGGTCTTTAACTGCACACTTAAAATTGATTTGAGTAGCAATTCCTCTGGGGATATTACCATTGTCTCTCGTAGTCTGTAAGTATCTCAATTGACACGATGCCCTCACTGATCTGACAGCTAAGTTGTCCAGTTTAGACATCGGGGGAATCGTGATGATTAAATTGTTGCTGATAAAACTCTAAAATCTCACAATCAGATGGCGGATGACAAACGGAGCGTAAAGGCTCTGGGGATTCTGACGATAACCGAGCTTGTAGCTGATTGATTGTAGAAGAATCACCTCGTTGTGTCAGATGTGCTGTCACAACGAGGTGATATATCCGTGCCATTTTACTGACACCTCGATTTTTCATCTGCAAAGCCAAAAAATCACATTTTCTCCCATAACTTCAAAGGGAAGCATTTTAGGGTGTTTTGTTGTTCATAACTCATATATAAATGTGCTAGTTGCGGTTATTTTGCACTTTTCAAAAAGTCACTAGCACATTCCTATCAAAATTTTAGAAAAATCGGTATATATTAAAACGAAAAATGTGCCTAAATTTGTTGTTTGGCTTTGAGGTCCAATAGATCTGAAGGGGAATGAGTAAAAACATTTTTGAGGGCATCAAAAACTGCGCCAGAATTCAGAGAACAATTTGATGTCAAGCATCAAATCAATACGATCTTCCCTGACTGACGTTTTGTTAAAATAAGCCTGAAAAGGACAATTTTAGCTTTTTGACTTTAAAAATTCATAACACACCAGCCTTTTTAGATACGATATCAAGATTTTACACACACATTGAAATAGATGTGAATAAAGGGCGAGAAAAATTTCAACCCGATACCGCAAGAAATGATTAACTTATAGCGTCTCAACCACAAAATAATTTTTTTCCGAAAATTGCACTCTTAACCAGGAAATGGTCGATTACAAAAATGGGAATTCTCAAAATGATTTTTTTGTGTGTGGAAACGGTGCGCTAGAAGGTCACTGAACTGCCTATGAGGTCATTAGGTCTGGACAGATTTGGGGTTTGCCCCCTTAAGACCTCGTGTTCTTTAAATGCTAGTTTTGTGTGCTCTGGCAGTTTTCCGTCCTTGTAGTAGTAGTTCACATTTCCGGCCATAACTGCCCTCATACCTTGTTTTTGTTTAGCAAAAAGAGATTCTATAAGAGATTTTGAAGCAAATCCCCATACAAGTGAGCAGAAGTTCAAATGGGACTGAACATGAACGAACAAAACTTTGGAAAATCTGTAAACGGGCCTTCATTGGCAATTTATGTTTTATCCTGTACATCACCCCAATAAATCTTGACATCTTGCTCCTCAGTGCTTTTATGTGGTTACTCCAGTTAAGCTTTTCATCTACAATTACACCAAGAAACCGGGCTTCAGTTTTACGTTCTAATACTGTATTTTCTATTTGTACTTTAATCAATGATGGTTCTATGCGCTTTTTAGAGAAAATCATATAACACGTCTTTTTTAGATTTAGTGCTAATCCGTTGCTATTAACCCACCGTGATAATGTTTCCGTTAATTGGTTGACCCTTA